ATATTGTATGTTACCTCATGAAAGAATTTCAGATGCACCGAAACACCATAAATGAAGGACCACCATACAAACATCTCTTCTTTTTATTTTTAATTAGAAAACTCTGCTGCCTTAACTATAAACTATTTCAACTCAATCCCTAATCAATCTATTCTGAACTTGCCCCCAGGGCAACAAGTAAGGGGAAAAAGAAACAGAGGAAACCACTCCTTATTAAATAATATAGTTAAGGTGTTTCAGCATACTACTGCAGCAACCCCCCCCCCCCCCCCCCCCCCCCCCCCNCCCCCCCTCCCCTCGCCCCATACAGTAGTAGCTCTGCTCTAGAGATGTAAACTGCTTATGAAAATGTACAGTAAGCACGTAAGCTAAACTATCGCAATTGTTTTATTATATATCACGGAATTTCCCAAATTCTTCTTTCCCGCCCTCATCGCCCTGGCGGTCAGCTCAGAATGGAATAAATGGAAATTCAAAAAAAAAAAAGGCGAAACTGAAAAAAATATATATAAAATAGACAATTATTTAAAAATTTTTTTCTAATTTCAATTTTGCTGCACAATTTGCCCCCCATGAATGCTGGTTTCCTCTCTCTCCCCCCCTCCCCGTCGCGTGTTCGTGGGGAAAGCGTTAGCAGTAGCGTAGCTGGCAGAATGAAATAAGGACCTACAACAAATTATATATATTAAATATTGAAAATAATTATGTTTTTCTCACACATGGTGGAGTTTCTGGGTTTATTCTTGCCTTTCATGCGTTTGCTGCGCACGGGTTAACCAGTGGTCTGCGTGGGTCCGGTGGCTGCTGCTCTGCTAGCAAGCCCCTCCTAGGGCAGAATTGTGTAGTTTATTAGTATTTTATGAAGTTAAATAATATATTTATTTGCCTTTATTACATAATTACCACCATATACACCCCAAGTACTCCCCTCTGGCTCGCTTTCTATACGGACTTTCAGGCGTCTACGGCAGTGGCGAGAACCGCCACCTCTTAAAACGGAAGCACGTTGCACGTGCTGCCTTGTCTTTTTGAATCTGAATCATTTCTTTTTATTATAAAACATAATCCTAGACAGATACACTCCCCCCTCCTAGCAATGACTCGCAACTGCAAGCGACAGCAGAAAAACCCCAAAAGAACTTCAATTGCCGTAGTATTTCTTCCTCTTTGTCTGTATTTCTTTGCCTCTTCATATTCAAGTTTGCCAGTATTCGTGGCAGCAGCCACCCCCATACAGCAGCAGCTGCAGCAGAAGGGTGTTTCGCCTCCAACGCCTGTTACCTATTCGTATCAGCCTGAGAATGCAGCAGAAAACACGCAAACAAGAACAAGCATTTTGTATGGACTCCGCGGTGTACGTGCATCTCAGTCGTTGTGTAAAGAGCTACAGACAACAGAGGAAGCAGAAGAGGGATACAGAGAAGAACCCGCAACAAAAGATATTGAATTGCCAGTAATTAACCAAGAACAAAGCTCAGCGTTGCAGCACAGCACACCACCAGCATCCAATGGAGATGAATATGAATATCCTTCACTTTCAAACGGCGAAACGAGAGAATTACTGCTTACATCAGCAGACGAAGATTCAAGTTTCCTTGGGCCTACTGAGAGTAGTATATCGCCACAGACGGCTGTTTCAGCTGTACATACACCTGAAACTTCCTCACTTGAACCTCCCCCAGCCACACACCGCCAGCTGCAGCGCTTCGATCCCGCTCAGCTAGGCCCAGCAGCACAGTACGCGCAGTACCTGACGACGTTTTTGCCGGGGCAGCAGCAGCAGCAGCAGCTGGAGCAGCTACAGCAGCTGCAGCAACTGCAGCAGCTACTCTCTGGGTCCGGGCGAGGGGGTTCTACTCCTGCTGCCTTGAAAAAGGTGCAGAGACGTGCACAGGCAGCAGCATATGCAAATTCAATTACATCTCATCCTCTGTTGCAGGGGTTACTCAGAACAGCTCTCACTACAGTAGCAGAAACACTGCAGAGTGTTTCTCTAGCGGATGTTGTACAGAGCGCGGTGCCTATACCACCGCCCCTGATTAGATAAATACAACGACAGCTGCTGCTGCTGCTGCTGCTGTTGCTCTTCCTCTGCGGGGATACCCGAGTGAAAGCTAGCAGCAGCAGCAGCAGCAGCAGCTGCAGCTGCAGCAGCAGCAGCAGCAGCAGCAGCAGCAGCAGCAGCGATAGCAGCTATATGCAAGGGTCACTGCAGAGCGCAAGCGTACCCATGGCTGACTGACATCTATGTACTTTATGTCGTTTTTCTTTTGCAACAATTCAACATTTTTCACTATTTGTAAACATATGAATTAATATATGAATTCTGTTTCTACAGTTTTCACGAATTCTCTGTAAATACATTTCCATTTGAGGTCAATAGAAACACAACGGGGCTGTTTTTCATCTTTTTTGTTTTTGTTTGCCGCCAGCGCAATGCTCCATAATTTAATACTATTTGCAGCTACCCTCCCTTCTTTTTAGTTTTTTTTTTTTACTCTGCTAGACATCGATCTGTATCAACCCCTAAACACTAAATATTATACTAAATATTATAAACTACAAATGTGCAATGGTGGGGTAGTAGTAGCTGCTCAGGGGTATGCGATGGATGTGCTTGAGTGCTTCGATGCTTACTAAGAAGTAAACCGAAAGAAAGAAAGAAAGAAAAAGAAAGATGAACTGAAACATAAAGGTTATTCACAAGTGCATTTCCCCTCGTTCCGCCCGTCTAAAGGTGATAGCACCAATACACCTGGGCGTCCTTCATGCACGCAAGAAGAAATAATATCTTTTCAAACAAACTACATGCATGCATGCAAGCATGACTGCAAGCGAGCGGTAGAAAAAGGGGAATATGTTTGGGGGTTTTGGGGTTGGGG